ACGTTTAAAGAAGCTTCATTTAAAATTAAATTAAAATGCTGATCTTACACCGCTGGCCCGCTCAGCCTGCTGCCAGCCTGGGGTTCCGTTCACCTAGGCTGGCAGCAGGCCAAGCGGGGCCCGCGGCTGGGACCCCGGCTGGCCAGGGGCCGGCAGCCAGAACCCCAGACCGGCAGTGGGCGGAGCGGGGCCAGCAGCCGGGACCCCAGACCAGCAGTGGGCAGAGCGGCTCAGCCCGCTGCCAGTCTGGGGTTCTGTCCACCGGTTCCTGCCAGCCAGGGTCCCGGCTGCTGGCCCTGCTCAGCCCGCTGCCAGTCTGGGATCCCAGCCCTGCCCACATAGAGTGGGTACATACCTACCTTCTCCCTGGTTCTAGCCCATTCTCTTCCTCTCTCTCTGCACTGAGCTGAGGGTGGGAGTGCACTGAGCACAGGGCTGGGGGTGAAGGAGCAGGCTGGTGGTTGGAGTGTAGGGTTTGGCCAGGAGCTAGAATGAGGGAGGGGGCTCAGGGTTGGGGCAGGAGGTTTGGGTGTGGAGTGCTTACCAGGGCAGCTCCCATTTGGTGCGAGGGGTGCAGGTAGGAATGTGGGGGGTGCAAGAGTCAGGGCAGAGGGCTGGGGGCGTGTGAGGAGGGTGCAGGAATCAGGGCATGGAGGGCTGGGTATGTGTGAGGGGTGCAGCCGTCAGGGCAGGAGGCTAGGGTGTGAGGAGGTGCAGGGGTCAGGGCAGAGGTGAGTGTGTGGGGGGGGTGTAGGGGTCAGGGCAGAGGGCTGGGGGTGTGGGCTGGGGTCATGAGGGTGCTCCCAGGCCCCTGCCTAGAGCGGCTCATGGCAGGGGGCTGGAGGGGATCTGCCCTTATTTTACCCCCCCTTCCTCAAGGCCCTGTTCCCACCTCTTTTCCTGCGCTGCGGCTCTGCTTCTCCCCCTCCCTTGCAAGGGCCATCAGCTGATGGGTGGCAGGGAGGGAGAGGAGAAGGGGCAAGGGCAGGAACCCAGTACGCTGGGGGAAGAGGCAGGGGAGGGCGGACCTTACCTGCCCTGCAGCAGCCGCCGGCAGGACCAAGCTTTTTCACCTTATCCCCGCGGGGGCAGGGGCAGAGAAGAGCGGGCCATGGCAGGCAAGATTTTTAATGGCACACTGCTGCCTGCTGGGGTCCCGGCCTGGGTTCGACAGGGTGCTGAGCGGGGCCGGTGGCTGGGACCTGGCAAGCAGCAGCGTGCCATTAAAAATCGGCACGCGTGCCATAAGTTGCCGACCCCTGGTCTATATTCTGGAATTACTGGGTCTCAGAGAGGATCTGCTGCACGCTGACTATACCAGGATTTAAATGTGAAGGTCTTCTTATTCAGGTAAAACTCTTATTTTGAAGGCTTAAGTGAGATTTAAGTGATATTTAGGCCATTTGCTGGCATTCTAAATAAGGATGAATTTCAAACAGAGTGCACCAATCCCAGCATTTAAATTGAAGATTATTCTTTTAGCATCATCATATTATGCAGCATCTTTAAACAATCCTACTCTAAAAAATATATTTGACATTATTCATTTCAAGAGAGAAACCTTAACTTCAGAAACACTTTACACTGTCCTAGATGCTCATGTTAACTATGATCTCTGAATTGGTAAACTAAGCACACATCTAAATTTAAGCACACGAGTAATCCCATTACATTTATTTGGCAAACCCCAATTGCCAGCTTCAAGCAGAACAGCTCCACTGTAGAAATTAATGCACATAGTCATATGCAAAGCAATTCTGCATTAGTTCCTCAGCTGCTTACTTCTCTTATACTCGTGCCTCATTTTTTTTTCCACTTGACAGTGGCTCAATCTGATTTGCATCATCTAATCCTGTTTCTCTCAGCCTTTTCAGATTGGTGACCACTTAGTCAAAGTCAAAAAGTTTCATAACCCCTTATATTTACTCTAAAAATAAGAATAATAAATGGATCAGTGATAATGATGAACCTATCTAATTTGTCTGCGCGCGTTTCAAGGGGTAGACAGGATATTTTACCTGGAAGGATAAGAGCGTGCAAGGTGAAGGAACAAGATTTTCTTTGCTTTAGGTTGTAACAACATTTTCAACGGCTCACACCCCATCAGTTGAGAAACACCAATATAATCTATTTATTCCATTCAGAAACTAATTTCAGTGGCTCATCTTTCCAAAGAACTCTCAAAGTTCCTCTCACTCAAAATCATTCTATTTGCCCTCCATTGTACCTTCTTCACATCTGGGGGTAGTTGGTCTTTTGGGTTTTATATCAATTATGGCAGAGCCTCATACTATATTACAGAGAGGGACTCTCAGCGTTAAAAGAAAAGAAAAAAAAACCCCACTGATTTTTCATCTTTAACCTTACATTTTTCTACCCTAAGTATCATAAGAAACTATTTTTCATGTTTATTTATAAAGTGTAATCCTGCAGATGAATGCTGTTAATACATTTGTTCTGGAAATGGTATGGTCTCTCAATAAAATGTTTTGAATTTTTAGAAAAAATGCTTATATGCCAAGGTTGATGGACCTTCACATGTTCTAGATACCAAAGTGATCAACCAAAACCAAGTCGGAGGATTAATAAAATTCAATACAAATGAGACTAATTTGATTTTATGCAGATCAGTGCTAGTAAGACTGTCAGGATTTGCAAATAGACAACCAGTAACTGGCTTTATGATGATACTTACCACTTCAACCTCACTCAACTAAAGCAGACAGTAATCTTGCTAATGAAGAATATCATTAACCCCTTCATAGATTAGCCAGCTGGTGAGTTACAGGAATATTTCATTAAGCCGATAAATTTAAAAGCTGCCCCCCCCTTGTAAATGATACCTACTATAAGTGCAACAATAACAAAATTTCTGTAACCAAGTACCATATTCTCCATCAACATGGAACATCAGTCATTAAATAGAATGAAATGTATCTATCCTCCATATTCTCAATGCCCTGAAGAGTGTTTCAGTGAACAAGCACTGTATGTACTTACTATATGCACAGGAAAATAGATGTCTCTTAAATCTATTGGCATTTTTAATGTGGCTCAGAGTCAGCGGGTCAGTCTGTCTTACCACTGACCCTCAATACCATTTACAAACAGTTCAGAGTTGGAAAATTATTATTCCAGACCCCAATAAATTAAGCTATCACCTTCTCCTGAGCATCTAAATTTGTGCCAGATTTGAAAACTCTGGATCAAGACACAGCATGCATACAACTGCTATGCCTGATTTAATCATATAAATACTGTTACATGCCCATTCTATTTACAAGCGTAACACACCTAGCTGGCCACATGTTCATGCACATCATAGATTAGGCATGCCCAAATGTGTGTCCATGCCTCAAGCTGAAAATATAGCCATTTATGTCTAGCCCACACAGCATCTTGAAAACCCTTTCTGGGCCTTCTTCACTGTGAAGTATCTTTTGAAAGCTATGAACCCTTCCCTTGGTTGAAAGGCCAAGATGGAACTGATTGCCTGAATAAACTGTTTGCTTTCAGTTGGCTGACATTGCGAATGCCATCATGTTAACTCCCTGTGATGTTAGTGTTTGATGTGAACCCACACAAGCAAGTAATTGCAGAGAGAAGAGATTCCAGATGGGCACTCTGGACCCAATTCTGCACGGCCTTGCAGCTTGAACGATCATTGTCACCTGTGTAGAGTGAGTGTAGAACATCCCTGAATCAGAATAGGTGCCATGGAGAGGACTCTAGCGCTCTACTCTCACTAGAAAAAAAAAATGTGGGTTAACTCAATTTTGCTAACTTGAGTTAATAAAACATGAGGTAAAAGTCTAGCGAAGACAAGACCGTTTGCATTCTCACATCTGTTAGTAGGTTGAGATAAAGAATAAAGGAGAGCCTAGGCCTTAACTTCACTTGCTAATTTGTGCGCAAAGTACAGACTACCCTGCCTTCACGAGGATTTTATGTCAAGTTAAGAATCCACATTTTTTCTAGTAAAGACAAGATGACCTAAGTGTAAGGCAGTGTAGTGTCAGGCTTCAAATCTTTAACTTGTCATGTTGTATCCTAACCCTCTACATCACATTTCAGAGAGATATTACCTTTCTCAATTTGCTGCAAGGCAGCATATAACAGGGTGGATTTTGTTTCAGTTCAGATTTGTTTTCCCCTTCAATGTGAATTCCTCTCTTTGGATGTATGTATGTAGAACAATGCTAGTGCAACAAGTTCTTGTAGTTTGAGGCATACTCTCTAACTGCATATAGAGCCTGCTATCCCTGTTAGAACAATACAATACAGCTCTCTTGCACAAATTCAATTAAAAACAAACATTTAAGAACAAAAATGTGTAGTGATTCAGAGGGCCAGCTGTTTGTGGCAGCAATCAGGAAAGAATCCCTATTTACAACAGGCAGCTTTGCCACAAGTTCCAAGTGCAGTGAGGTGTTAGCCACTGCTGAAGACAGGACATCCAACTTGATGGACCCACCATCTGAGTGAATATGGCAAGTTCTATGTTCCAATTCTTTGAAAGACAAGCCACTTTGTGTTTCAGCAAGCTCTCTCAGGAACAGGACCAATTTCCATCCATTCTGTGTGAGACTCTCTCAGGACAGCACTTTCTCAACATCTCAGATAATTTAGCAAAATACAGAGCTACCAACACAACTACAGCACATGCAAATTCATTATGCAAATAGCTTTGCAGGGAGGAAACCCTTGTAGAAACAAAGCTATGGGATTAAAGGAGCTTTCTGGGATCATCAATTTACAAGCAGTGAGGAACTATAAAAGGTCAAACTTTCCATTGCATTTGGGAGGCTGGGTGCTGTGCATATCTGGATAGTTTGGTTACTGCTTTGAAGAGATGCTCAAAAAATCTCTATTGCTTTGAGCCTGTTGCAAAGGTCAAACCTCTTTCCAGGGAAACAGCATTTTAGAAAATGAACATAAAAGTGAACTCCAGGACTACAGAATAAAAAGTCAGAGGAGAAAGCAAGGCATGGTTTACTCACCAGGCGTGTATTAACCACAGGAAACAGCAATGCCAAGAGGGCCCCATTTAACATATGCATCTGTAACCTTAGAAGAAAGAGGGGCAATGTTATTTTCACAGCCTGAAAATTAAGTATCAAATGTGCACTTTCAACATATTTTATGTACTGTAGAATGATTTTCCATAAAGTAGCAAAAGCTTTGCATAAGCTCTGTTCACTTGAATTTGCATAAAGCCATTAGGAGTCCTTATGGCACCTTAGAGACTAACAAATATATTTGGGCATAAGCTTTCGTGGGCTAAAGCCCACTGTTAACTGTCATAAACCAGATAAAACCTCCTTAATAAATAAACATTTAAATAATTTCCTGTTGTAAGAGTGCTTTCTATAATGAGCTTTGGATTCTTAAGTGGTTTGCACTGCTGGTCTGTAATCATGGTCATGCCAGAGGCTGCTGGAGGGTTTTTATTTGGGGAGCTTAAAATAGGTATTTCACCAAACGCCTTTATTCCTATTCAACAATAAAAATGCATGATGTCAAACTAAGGCTTCAGAAATTTAAGCAGCAGCACTGTTTTTATGAGTGGTGTCTAAATTTAAAATATAAGAAAGATTCATGCATTCTGCATTCAAACCAACACGGCAAATCTTGAGAACGGGATATATAGGGAAAACACTATTGCAATTAAAATGCTGTATTTCCCATAACTGCAGGTCATTTCACCTTGAACTACTGTCTCATCTCACATAATAAGTGGGATCAGTCCTGTTTAAATCTCCATTACAGAAGAGATACAGTGCATATAAAGCTCCATATGGTGAACAGAGCTGGCCAAAGAATCTGTTCAGAATAACACTAGTTACAAATTATTGCATTCCCTCCCCCCCCCCCCCCAATAATTATTCACAGGAATAATCTCAGCTGTTCCATTCAACAAAGGGTTGAATGGTATTTGTGAAATACATTTTCCCCATCATTTGGGGAACATTTTATTTGCAAGTTATTTTCCCCTGTTCTCCAATCCCAAGACCAAGAACAAGGAGCTACACCAGCAGTTCAATTGTTTGTGCATCCTGAACCCTGCAGGATGTGAGTTGCAAGGGGGACCAAGCTTAACAACTCATCCCTACCTTGTAATCATATTAACATGCTGAAATGAGCAAGCCAGTGGCAAAAGGGCTAGCACAGCCAACACATTCCTATGAATCCAAGCATGCATTGCTGTAAGATTATATTGTGATAGAGAAATGAGCATATCCTTGAGCTCAGTATGCATTTCACTCACAAAAGGAGTACATGGCTCTGTTCTCTCAAAAACCTCAGTTCATCCAGGGTTAGTCCTCTATAGGTCCTCTTGTATATCCAACTAAAACTCAAGAGAATACGAATGCTGACCGAAAGCACAGTGTGCTCTCCTCGGGCACGCAGGATCGCAGCTCAATCCAAAATTTAAAAAGAGGCAATCTGACATTCCTATGCATGGAAACAAAAGTTAAATAGCGAGGGATGACTGTCCTGCAGAAATATAAAGTTAAAACCAGGCACCAATAAATCTTTGGAAAGTTACTTTTATGTTTGCTTACAAATTCACTAACTCTTAGACCATTTTAAATTACAATTGAATTCAAGCCCACCTGCACAAACCACCTGAAGAATGAATGCAGAGTCTGTGTTTATTTTCTCCTCACCCAAAATGTCTTCCAAGAAAATGATGAGAACCACAGCTTTGAAGTGGAGCAGAGCACTGTAGCTGCTCAGTCTGGACACCAGGATTCTTGGGTAATGGTGCACTTGGTGAGAAGGAACAGGAGGTAGGAAAAATGGGACTAGCAACCCTGCAACTTGGCTAACAAAGAGAAATGGGAAGGATAGACGGTCCACCAGTGCCTGTTGCAGGCAATTGCAGAAGTGATCACCAAGTAAGAGAAGCCCACCTAATCCAGGCAAAGGATCCTTGTTCAACTACAAGAGAGATCCTGTCAATGAACCAAGGGGGGAAATTCCTCCCTGATTCCACATTTAGAGATTAGTTTACCTCTGTGCATGAGCCCGAGCCCAACCCCATCCCTGGTCTTCAGAGCCTGAGCTGCAATGTCTACACCGCTGTTTTTAGTGCAATAGCATGAGTCCTGCAAGCCTGAGTCTGTAGACCCAGGCTCAGACTCGCTGCCACGGGTTTTAAAATGCAGTGTAGTACACACTATGTCTAAACTTTAATTTTCAGTTGTGTTTTAACACTTGTTTATTAACATGACTAAACACAAACTTTGCTCCAGGATATGTGCCTGTTCCTTGTCATGTTTAACCACTGGCTTCTAGCATCTACACTAAAATTTACAATTATCTTATTTAGCAGTATTAAAACACAACAAAAATGAGACAACAATCCCTGTCAGGCAAATACAGAAGAAAGTTTAAGCACTTTAAAACACAGTGTTAGCTATGAACTACACAGGGAAGGATGAACCAGTAGTTAGGGTGTTAGCTAGGAATTCGTAAGTCCCAGGTTCAATTCCCTGCTCCGACCACGGATTTTCTGGGCAAGTCACTTAGTCTCTCTGTACCTCAGGTCCCCATCTGTAAATTGGAAATAAATAGAAGTTCCTCACAGGATTGTTGTGAGGATAAATGCATTAAAGACTGTCTGATATTATGGTAATAAGGGGTCATTTAAGTACACACGATAGCAAGCCAGCCACTAATATGGTAGAAAGAGCCTAAATGTCAGTCCTTTTAACCTAAAAGGAGTAATTGGTACAATATCTGGAACATCTGTTTGTATCGTTCTAGATACTCGCGGAGGAGATTTCAAGATCTAACACTTGTATATTAAAACACACTGCCCCAGAAAAGACACTGACTGCTTCAAAAAATTTAAAACATACTTTAGAGCAGAGATCCCCAACACGGCGCTTGACGGGGTGTTTATGTGCCCCCGCCTAGTGATACGGTGTGAAAACTAGTGCCCAGCAGGGGAGAGAAGCCGCAGCCCCGCACCTGCCGGGGACAGAGAACTCCAGGGCTGCAGGCTGCGAGTGCCGGTGTTCTCTGTCCCCGGCAGGGGCGGGGCCGCGGCTTTTCTCCGCATTACCCAGAACTGCCAAAAAAAAAAAAAAAAAGCGGCTTAGACTGCTGCTGCCGGAACTGCCAAAGCGCCAAAAAAAAAAAAAAAAAACCACTCGGACTCTGCCACCGCAAGAATGGACAGAATGCCGCCCCAGGCACTTGCTTGCTCCACTGGAGCCGGCCCTGTAGGTGAGCATTCTTCCGCTGCACTGATGCTGCTGTTTTCTCATGCTTTGCGATTTTTTTTTTTTTTAAACATTTTGGTTTTAAAAAAATGAGTGGTTCAAATAAAAGACAATGTACGTATTATTTCAACGCAGAGTGGGAGGAATCCTATTGTTTTATTGAAAATAAAGGGAAATGTGTTTGCTTATTGTGCGGTGGTACTGTTGCAGTGCCGAAAAAACAATGTCAAACGCCATTTCCAAACTAATTACAGCTCTTTTGACACTTGCCATCCACTTAAATCTGAGTTGAGAAAGAAGAAAATGAATCAACTCAAACCAAACCTATCCGCCCATCAATCTGTTTTCACTAGACAAGTGGTAAAGTCTAAAAGTGCTACTATTGCTTCCTTTAAAATTGCTCATCTGCTCGCAAAGAAGAAAAAACGTTTCAAGATGGTGAATTGTTGAAAGAAGCATTTTTGACTGGTACTGATTGCCTGTTTCAAGGATTTCCTAACAAGCGTGAGATTTTGTCAGCAATACAAGACTTGCAGTTATCAGACAACACAGTTACGAGGAGGATACATGCAATTTCAAGCGACATACAAACTCAGCTAAAGGATGACTTGGAAATATGTGACTGGTTTTCACTGCAGTTCGATGAGTCGACAGATATATTGGATACAGCACAGTTGGCAGTTATGGTGAGGGTGGTATTTAGTGACTTCACCGTAAAAGAAGAGTTAAGTATTGCCTATGAAAGGGTGAACAAAGGGTGAGGACATTATAATTTATTCAAATCATACTCAACATCAAGTAGTATGCCACTGCACAAGCTGTCTGCGATCACCACTGATGGGGCACCAGCAACGATGGGCAGCGCCAATGGATTCATTGCACTCTGCAAGAAGAATGAATCCTTTCCCAACTTTATGTCTTAACATTGCATTATCCATCAAGAAGCTTTGTGTGTCAAAGTTCATTCTTTTCAACACATCGTGAATGTCGTTATTAAAATAATTAACTCTATTCGAGTGAAACCTTTGCAACACCGACTTTTTAAGGCCCTGTTGGAAGAGATTGATGATAAACAATCTGATCTCATCTTGCACACAGAAGTACAATGGCTGGGCAAAGGTAAAGTTCTTGCACGTTTTTTAAGCCTAATTCAAGGGATCAAAGAATTTCTGAACTCCACAAATCAGAACTTCGAGCAACTAGAAGACTCCAGCTCGTTAATGGACTTGGCTTTTCTTGCCGCCATCGCTGACAACTTGAACATTTTAAATCTTGAGCTCCACGGAAAAGACAAACATGTGGCTCAAATGATAGGTTCTGTAAAATCATTCAAAGCAAAACTGATCTTGTAGATGTCACATATGAAGACGAAGTCTCTCATACATTTCCCAAGTCTGAAGAAAATGGTATGTGACAGTGATTTTAACCCATCACCATGAGCAAATTCACATGGTAAGGTGAAAGATTAGTTGCCGAACAATTTAATAAATACCTTTTACATGTAAAATTACCTTTTTTATCTTATGGAGTCATATTAAATATGACGTTTTTCGTATTATTTAATGTACAAAATAAGCCTTGAAAAATTGTTGGTGCCCGTCACACTTCTGAAAACATGAATGTGCGACTGGCCACAAAAAGGTTGGGGGCCAGTGCTTCAGAGTAAGACAGACAAGACACAAGATGGAGTAAGACTGATGCTGTAACCAGCAAGTGAAACAGAATCAGATTTCTATGGTTTGCTCCATGGTTGATGTTTTAGTCATAAGCTTTGTGTGTTAGCGTTCTTCCCTAAGCCCATTACTTGCCTGGCCCATTTCTTGACATTCTCCC